TTTTGGAGATAAATTATTAATATAACACAATTTCGAGTTAAAATATAATATAACGCAATTTTTGAGATAATACTATGTTAGTTGTCAACTGCGATATGATCATAGGTCTGAAAGTGCTTTTATCACATGACAGTTATAGAAATAATACGAACTAGACGAGACAAATTATGTATATAAATGAAATTTTACAACTCTCTTATTTAAATAGGAGAGTTATAAAATCGACTGATTTGGTTCGTAGAATCTTTAAGCCTCTCTCCAGGGCTTCTAATCTGCTAATTTTAAATCATCTCAGTTGATAGAGTGTCAATGGCAGAATTCTGTACGTTTGGTATTTTGCTAAGCGCCCAGTTACCCGACGCGAAAGATTACGCGCGGCCTCCGCGCGGTGATCGTTCAGTTACCACGCTTTTAAGTACATTACTGGCGAATCTGAATTCTATTTACTAGGCCACAACATTTAAATTCCTCAGAATAATACAACCGCGCGGCACTCGCGTAGACCAAAGACAAGCCAGCCTTGCAAGCGCGCGTTGGCACGCGCACTTCCAGTTATACATTGCACAATAAACAGTTGCCACCGCTAAGCCGTTGAATTTAAATTCAACCAATTGCCAACTCTCCTCCCTGATGATGGAGCTCTAGGTACTCTCACTTCCCGATGCCGAAGCGTGTCTCCAGTTCTCATTATTCCTACGCGACTGGATAGATCGGAGGATATCTAGCTTATCCTCTATTAGTTAACCGGACTAGCACCGGAGATATCAGTCGCAATGCCCTGCAACAGTGTCCGGACATAGTTTACAACCTAAAGACCGACAATCCTACCATTGAATAGAATATGAGATAAGATTTAACGCACACACTCAACATAACCCCGCACTAGGGAAACCCTGAGTCGCAAGTGCCATGTACACTCACATAGACAACCACAAATTACACCCAAACTCACGAGAGAAATAAATGTAGACCATACAAATATTTCTCCTAGCCCGGGAATCGAACCTGGGACCTCTGGTTGGCAGTCCGGCATGGTAACCGTTCGGCCACGGAGGCAGTTGCCATTATTATAATTTACTTTACCTATGTCGCGTCAGTTCCAAAGAGACTGCGTCACTCGTGATCGCGTGCCTACTAGAGGGCGCTAGAGTATTGGCGCTGATTATAAATGAAGTCCAAAAAGCATGCAACAGCTTACGATTCAAAACTGGTTAAAGACTTGTTTAATTGCAAGAGTTTTTTAAAATTATTATTAAAATTTAGTGGGTCCGCTGATTTAAGTTTTTTAAGGTAATAACTGTCCATGGAATAACCTTATTACGGCTTTACTTTTCTTTAATCTCGAGATGCACGGCAACTGGCTTAGATACGGTTGCACGTAAAAGAAGTAGCGATTTTTCTAAAGTTTGTTCTAGTCGCGAAAACTTACATTTAGGTGATACACCATTTTTAAGTTGCTAGGTTATACAATCGACGGTGAAATAACCTTGTTTCTACGTAGCTATTCTTCGACCTTGAGAGCCACACAACATTATATCTGATTGTGTTCAGTTAATGCCGTAATTTGTTCAAAAACCGAACTATTTGTCACTCGTTGAAAAGATCTTGGACATTATGTGGAAAAGTTATTTTACAAAAGATTTAACACACCGTGACAAGTACGACTAGTAACTTTTTAAAACAGCGCACCGACTAAAAAGACTTTTATTCGCTTTACCCGGCTAAATAAACACTTTGTACCCACTTTAGTAGTTAAATTTTAAATACTTAATTATGATGCGCGTCAGGCCTTTTTGACTTGGCTTCCTGAAATGGTATGAGCGGCGACTTACGGGTGGGTAAAAACGTGATCAACTGTGAACAATGGCAATTCTACAAGTATTTCACACTCTTTAACGAGATGATGCATATTTTTATATACGTATATAGGAGGTAATTTCAAAATAAAGAGACCAGTCTGTGTCTATTCACCCTGAAGTGGCGATTTACTCTTTTATATTTTGCTTCTAAATTAGACAATCATTACGATCGTGCTAAAACATTTCATACATCTCTAAGGGTCGTATTCCAGAACTCTACTCAATGCTCAAGTCAGGATTTGAGTATGGTTTAAAGCACTCGAAATCATACTCAAGCCCTAATGGCAAGCCATTAAGGTCGTATTTCCAGTGCTTGAAATCATACTCAAGTCTGCTCAAATCCTGACTTGAGCATTGAGTACAGTTCTGGAATACGACCCTAAGAACGCCTTGAAGACAGTTCTTCGACAGTAAATTAAAGGCAACCTCAATAGAGTGCACAAAGAAATAGGGCGTACAAAGAATTATATTTTATGAGTCTTCAATATTTGTACGACTGGGCCGGCTACGCTCATTTGTTATGAAGTAATTAATTGATTAATTACTTCATAACAAACGAATTTGAATAATTGAATAATTTCATGAAATTCATAAAAATTATAATTAATTTTCATGAAAGTAGACCTATACTATAAATTTAAGTGATATCAATAATTTGTGCAACTGCATTCGGGCCGCAATCTAAAATCTTGAGGCCAGCTCTAGTCAAATGACATATTATTTAGTGTAATTTTAGATCACTAGGTCAAAGCACATATTAAACAGCAGCAGCATTCGAAAGAAAACTTAACAATTATTGGGATTTATTTACTTTTATTAAGTACACTTTTCCAACTGTGCACTTTAAAATAATTTCAAATCCACATACAAAATGTAACAACTACACTAAAATATCGTACACTAATAAGATTGGACCCTGTACTGTATGTTATTGATGTCAATTTTCAATATCAAATTTTTATTCAGTATAATTCACAGATTTATAAAGAGTGCTCCATTTTGTTCCCTATTATGATTGGGACAAAGTCGGTCGATAAAAACTTACAGAGGGCGCTCAAAGACCACAGAGGTAAACAAATATATTAGTCCAACAACAAATAAATCCATGAGACAAAGTATCTAAAAATGAAGATTGAATTTCAATTGAACCATATCTTATGTATAAATTTTGAAACAATATTCAAATGTAGGAGATCATGAGATAGTTACAAACAAAAGATATTCTTACCTTTTTGGCCTTCTTTAAAAAAATATATTCTAGCGTTTCCCTTTGATAATTACCTTATCTTATAAAACCACACTTATTAAACTTAACAATTCAGTACACAAAATATGAAAAGCGTTGGTGGAGTACTTAATCAGATAGTTTTAGGAACTAGTTACGAAAGGGTTCTGCCTCATTGCCAATTTTTAACTCCATTCCCTTCCTGTTGGGTAAACGCTTGACAGCGGTTACTTGTGTAATTAACAATAGTGTTATAGCAATCGTCAATGGATGTTAAAAGTGGCAATAATGTAAAATCCCAAGGAACTATTACAGCGCGGGCACAAACGAAATAATCTTTTAGATCTGTCATATAGTTCCGTATTTACAACTTTAAGTAACACAATAGACATGTGTTTAACAACTTCACGCTATACTATGGGACTTAGAAACTTTATAAAATGGTACTTAACAATAAAAATATTTACATTTTTACATAGAAATGTATGTAATAATGTTTTGTACTCTGAACAATTAATTCCACTACATATACCTATAGCAAGAACGTAGAGTCCGCAGCGACAGTTAACTTGCATGACATAAAATATTACTGACTTATTCAACTATACAACAAACATTATATAACAAACACACTAATGAAAATTTCTGTCACTATATAAATGTATGGCTCACCACATTAAAAAATGGAGCTTTGACACAGTTCGTTTACAAAAAGGAGACCAGTAAATAGAAAATTAAAGAAATGTTTCGAGGCATAATCTTAAACATGTCAACATATCTTTTTAACGACGTCTTAATACTAATTATTTTATAATGAAGTATAAAAATTTTTCAATGAAAATTGATGTCAACTTTAACCTTACCATAGGTACCGAGATACAGTTGTCGTAATTTCAAAATCAGATAAACGGGTTGAATAGGGACTAAGAGGTGACTACAAATAAAACAAATAAATTAGTCAAGTGACTTACTTAAATTTAACACATACAATGAAATGATCTTATACACTTGGTAATTAATATTGTTCCCTTAAAAACGGATAGTCCACTTACGAATTTTGACACGAAAAATGTTACTTGCAAAATCTAGACTCAAATTACAAGTTCTATGTTGAGATGTTAATAATATATTTCAATTAAAATTGTAAGTGGCTTAACCAGATTAATTCTGTTCACACCAATGTCTCTAATCAGCCCCGTCATTTATTCGATTTTGATGGTCCTTGAAATGTCAAATGTTTCAAATAAACAGGTGTCGTTTTTAAATAACAAAAAAGATGCCAGCTGTGTTGGATAATGTTGAACCTTTTTGCATAACCGTAAACTTAAAGCATGTGGCCGAGAATAAATGCCAACAAGTTACTCAGTGGTCTCTGAGATAGTGGCGCCAGTTTATCATCATCATCAACAGGCCCGTATTAATAAATCCATCAAGTAAAAAAATCGATACTAAATTCTAAGTCAACTGTCTCTATATTTTAACAAATATATCACATGCTTTGCCATTTATCTCCAGTGCTCATTGATTATGTCACATTAGAGTTAAGAAAATATCCGTTTTGTTAATAAATGTCCCGCAGCACTGAAGTTACGTCTCAAGATCGTTGTTAAATTCTAATCTATGAAGTGCGGTCTTGGTAACTGCGTGCCTTATTACAGCGGGACTCTGGTCAAATTTTTAATATATAATAATTCAGGTAATTTTAATCGTTTCTAGTCGCAATAAACTAGATTTAGTCGATCTGCCATAGCGGTGTTAGGAAGAATATTAATGCTCTTATAACTCTTTCTAAAGTTGAAACTAAATTGGTTTAACCAGTTAATTTTTATTCCCACCTAAGTATCTATTCACTCCCATCAATTTATTCGATATTGAACGGTCCGACCGCGGAGTTCCTAATTTATAAGGGTGCTTTACGCTGAAATAGCTTATTCCAGCAGCACCATTCCTCAATTTCGAGAACCACAGCATCTAGCTTTATCTGACTACTTTAAAAAATGGCAATCTTACCATATTAGTTATAACTCTGGATATTTGATTATCGTCACGGTGGATTAAGAGACGCTCGATTGATTGAGATGGTATTATGATGGTACCGGCCATTACAGTGTATAAATATCTCAGCGACATTTTAGTAGATACGCGCTTAAAAACGGACTAAGAGCAGTTTATTAAGACGGGTCGAAAATTCCGCAAAAATGGCGAGGGACCAAATGATGTGTACTTGTCTTAATGAAAGCATTCTTAATATAAGTAACCTAATTGGAGGTAACAATGGTTGTAGTAAATTTTTAAACTTAAACAACCCTACAATTTAGTCAATTGACTAATAACTAAATATCGCTTAGCGTTGCTTAAAGTAGTTCTTAGAAACAATATATAACAGAATTATTTGCAAAACATTAATCTAAAGAAACAACATTTGTTCCATAACTTTTATTATTAAACATTATGAATTTACCAAAATGAAACTTAACGTTTTCGCTGTACTATTTGACACTTTTTAGATCTGTATCTTTAGCAACGCCTCGCGCGTGTTGTCATTTATAAAATTATTTTTTGTAGTGGGTGCAAAAAAAGTGGTGGTGGGGGTAAAAATCTGATGAATTACTAAAAGTCATGGAACAAAAGTTGTTGTTTATGATGTTAGTAATACAGTGTGTTGATTTGCATTCTCGTCATATTTAAGAAATTAATAATAGAAATAATGCTAAATCATCTAAAAAATATTAAAACAATTATTCTGTTCAATATTCTGGCTAATTGTATCTAGTAAAGTTTTGCAAAATTGTCTCAAGTCATATGCACCACGCAAGGGCAATGACCCCGCGACCCGCTTCGCCGAGCGATACGTAATATTTTTCGCTCGCTTATTTACCTATTTTTAAAAAGCTTTTCTTTTTTGCAATACTAACTCTTGTTTACATACCAAATCACGTGGCATTTCGTGACAGACTAGAATAGAATGTATGACATTCTGTCAGCGTGACGTAGACGCAGTACGGGAAGCAAGGTCGACTGATCTACCAATTATACGACACTCCCCGTCGTCGCTACCCGCACCCCACCACCTATTAGATCTAAAATACGTTTCTTTCTGCGCATTTAAGGCCATTGCTAAAATGTTTGCAAGTGCCGTGCAAGTCAATGACCTTTGGATATTGACCTACCAATAAATGGACGTCGGGTTTGCGTTAAAAAGTGTCCGCACCTGTAGGGCATTTAAATCGCATACTGAGCGTCGATCGCGCAACAGTCTTCATTTGTTCGAGTGACAGCGCGGTTGTCAATCATGCAGTACCATATGATAATAACTTGTAAAAATTACCGCAGTAAAGTGTAAAAACAGGATTTTGTATCATATTTTCACTAAACAAATATATTGTGTTATCATAGTTCTCATTTAAAAGTGTTATTTTTACAGTTTTATCGTATTTAATTTATGTATAAATGAATCGTAAATAAAAATTACAAAAGCACACAAAATAACCAAATAGTTAACTGTCCTTTTTCTACACATTGCATGCGCAAAAGATGGAAAAAGAGAGCCATTACGTCAATTTCAAGAAGCTTATATAAACTTTATGGTCATTTTCAATTGTTCGAAACACAAGCGATTGAAATATTTAGAACAAAGAAACTATAGAGTCGCTTTGATTTTAATATTATTTAAAAAAATATTTTTTATTCATGACGTTTAATTCGAGCTAACGAAATAAAATGTCAAATGTATTTTTTTAGGAAGATTACAAAACTAAACTAAATCGGTTTTCGGAATTACGGTTTACGTTTAGTTGGAATATCAGTACATTTCTTATAGTACACGCTTAGTTTCACATTTGTAGTAATATTTGTATGTTTGTATCTGCCCAACTCTTTATTATTTCTTTTAAGTGAATTTTCACAAAATTCGACATAATAATATATATAAAAATTAATTAATATTTACGATAAAGGCTACTCCATCACTCTTGTGTTCAAGTAATTTTCAGTCGAAGCTAAGTATGGTGCATTTTGTTAAATTTCCAACAGAAGCTAAATATGGTGTTTTTGGGTCCTTAAATTGTTGCAAGCAAAATTAGGCAGTACTGCAATGACGTTACAATTTAAATTAAATGTTTTAGTTTTTTATATTTCGTTACATGTCACTACGTTTGTATAGGTTAACTTCGGACATTTTTTTCGTGGTTTTTGTATTAGACCCGACGTCCATTTGTTAATAGGTCAATGCCTTTGGATCAAATTCGTTTAGCGCAATTAAATAAAAAATAGGAATTTACGAATTTTGTTTTTTCGATTAATTTTTTGTGTGACTTGGGTTCAGTTTCGGACATAGAATGTCCGTTGTAAACTAGGCGAGAATGCAAATCAACACATGTATAGGGGGATGTTAGTACTTTACAAATCAACCTGTATTCTTAAAAAGAGCTTAACACACCGAGCGCGAGATGGTTGATAGGTTAATCAGAAACCTGTATTCAAATTATCTTTATTTCATAGATAAGCAAATTACACTTGAAATAAATCTTCAAATTGATTAAGCACTACTATTCGTTCGTAACGCTGATTCTTCTGAAAATAATGAATAAGAAATTCTAGGGGTTGCTCTTTGTAAATAGATATTTTCGATACCTCCAACGAACACTACGCCACCTCAATTTTTAAAACCGGTTCTGTTTTTGTTTCGTTATTTATTTTTTTGAATTTTGTTTTTGTTTCTCTATATTTTTTTACAAAATTCGGGATGCATAATATTAGTAAATAAATATTGCTGTTTAAAAAAATAACAGAAAATGACCATAAAATAAAGTTGGCGTAGTGTTCAACGGACGCATAGTTTTGTTCACATATTATTTACAAAATTTATTTTAAAATATCATGGAAGCAACCAGTTAAAAGGCGCAATAACTGTACAGTTTAAACCTCGTAAATATCGCAGTTTTGGTGCAAAAAAAATGCAGGTCACAATATTTTTTTATTATTATTTTGCTAAGCTCTTTATTTCAAGTTTATATCTAGCAAAAAATTTGAGGCTGGTTAAATTTTTCTGGGAATAAAGTACCAAGCTCCATACTGATTCCGTACAAGTCTTTTTCAATATCGTAGGAATCCTATAGAATCGCATACATTGCCCATTCTATGAATTTATGACTTTGTAAAGCCAACAGGCAGGAACAGCCACTTTATTTTTGTTCCGTTTTCGTTGCAAGATTTGCATTTGTGTGAACTCAGCAACATTGACCTAATTTTTAGGCTAAATTCACATTACCATGGAACTCATAGCATAACGATCTTTATGTTAATTGTGTAACGTAAAAAACTAGATGCGAGCCAAAAACCGGGTCACGAGTATTTCGGAGAGTTTTCGCGCAGGCTCGGGAATTCCCGCAGCTACTGCATCGTATTTAGTTTCTACGTTACACAATTGATATAAAGTTCATTATACTATGTACAATTCGGTACATAAATTCACTTTCATTCTGTCCCGTAGTAATGTAAATTGAACCTTAAATATGATTTACTAGATACGGCTTTTTTATACTAATTTGTATGTTTTTTTATAATTATTTTAAAATATTGTTTTTACTAGTGGCGTTCTTATTTTATTGTGTTTTAAATTGTAATATTGATTACATAAAATAAATGATTACATGCTTCACCTCGCGCGCGGTGAATGAAACTCCTTAACGACTATCAGATTAAGTGAAATCTGGTCCAGATCTTCTTGGGAATTTCTGTAACAAAAATAACTATTACTATGACGTTTTTCATGCATTACAGACTAGAAATACAGTTTTATTCCAATAATTCAATGACGGGCGTCAACTACGTAGTTCAATTTCCTGCTAACAGATGACGCCACAATACATCCCATGAGCTTTTGTACGCCATCTATTGAGCGTTGCGCGTTTGTACGTTAACGAACACTAGCTGCCGTTTTCCCCTATAAACTGGCTAATAAGTGCAAGCCAGACGGGAAGCGTTTCTCAGTCTCACTACACAATGATATTGCCAAACAAACGCAAACCTACAGGGGCACAATTCTACTATTTTTTCTTTAAAAGAAGCCGTGGTAGCCTAATGGTTTGACCAACTACCTCTCAAGCAGAGGGTCGTGGGTTCGAATCCGGGCTCGCACCTCTGAGTTTCTCGGAATTTATGTGCGAAATTTAAAATGAAATTTAAAATGAAATTTATCATGAACTATTCGGTGAAGGAAAACATCTTGATGAAACCTGCACGTCGAAGAAGGTCCACAACCCTCGGAAAACGTGTAAAGTCTCCAACCCGCATTGTGCCAGCGTAGCGAACTATGGCCTAAATCCTCGTGTGAAAGGAGACCAGTGCCCGTGGGGTGTATAAATGGTTTGATGATGATGCTAAAAGGTACTTGCAATGGCAGCTGAGTCTCAATTAATTGTGAGTGGAACGGCAATTATGGCATTCATTCATTCAATTACTAACGATCCATGTTTCCTTACCAAAACCATCATGGAAATTACCGCATATCGCCCGTTTAAAGATAAAACCACTAAAGTGACATTTTACACAAAAAACTCGATAACAAAGCTATAAACTGAACAAGAGTTTCATCTGCAGAAAGATCGTGAATTTCTTACAACTGGTACATAATTTGGAGATTTTTTGTGGAAAATGTCACATATGCAATTTTACCTTTAAAGAGACAATATCATAATTTTTATTTCGTTTAATCAGCAATTTAATGTCAAATATTTAGTAGACTACACCGTCGATACGCCATTGAAGAGCAGAATACCAAAAAATTGCAATGGCAGTTGAATGCTAGCTTGATGGTTAGCCACTGACAATCCACCACTCTTAACAGAATACTAAACGTTCGAAATCCTGCCATTAACACAACTGAGATGATTTAAAATAGTAGAATTGGGGCCCAGGGGCACCATCTACTAATTTTCTTGTAACTATTGGTCATTGTAATTCCATTGAGACCCAATATATTAAAAAATTAAATATACAGGGTCTTAATGTGAGACGGGGCAGCAAGGCCAGCAATTTTAATCGTTATAGTTACAGAAAAACGGTTTTAAAAGGCTAGCCATGAATTTTGTAGATATTTTGATTGGCCTTCACAGATTTTGAAAAAATTGTACAGTCCGCAAGATAAAAGGCAATTTTTACAAAACTTTTTTTATGCCATTCGACCCGGTCTCTGGTAAGGATCAATAGTCTCCATGGGACTAACTGAGGTAAGAGTACTCGAAATGTCAGAAATCGCAAAAAAAGTGCCATCACATCAAACATCGACGTGCCATCGAAAAGCAGAATACCAATAACCTAACCTCCGGTTAAAAAACCGACCTCAAAAGTCATTCATCCCCTAGTTTGCCACCCTTAGGGTCGTATTCTAGAACTCTATTCAATGCTCAAGTCAGGATTGCACTGGCAACACAAGCACTGGAAATACGACCCTAATGGCAGGGACTTGAGTATGATTTCGAGTGCTTTAAGCCATACTCAAATCCTGACTTGAGCATTGAGTAGAGTTCTAGAATACGACCCTAGGAGGTGGAATATTTTCTTGAAATTGAAATTGTACCACATCTGAAGTACCTTCTTTCCAACAAAAAAAAGAATCATCAAAATTGGTTCACAAATGGCGGAGTTATCGCGTAACATACATACAAAAAAAAAACAAAAAAACATACAGTCGAATTCAGAACCTCCTCCTTTTTTTGAAGTCGGTTAAAAATACACTGACTAGTCACTACTGTTAACTTCAACTTCAACTTTTGTGTCTATGGCTCCGTCGTTTTGCGCGACGATTTTGCCAATGTCAGGGTTGAGAGACATGTGTAGCGGTAGTGAGACAGATTGCCGGTTACTTTTAACAGAATACCTGCCATTGACAATACATACAACTGAGATGATTTAAAATTAGTAGAATTGGGACTGTATGATGTTGACTTCAACTATCGTTAATTTTCATAATATAAATCTTTGGGAAAATGAATTCGAGACCGGAGACGGATAACACTGCCTTTAGATACATTCGTCAAGATCGGTGGGACCGGTTAGCTTGGAATTCAGAGTGAAATGTTAAAACTCATAATAATCAACATTTAAACAGGAGCTGGTTTCACTTTATTTGTAGTATGAATCTCAGTTGGGCTGTTAAATCATTTGGTTAGGGGGCTGCATTTTCCAACCCTTTTGTTTTGTGCTTAATACGTTGTTTTCCTTATATTAATTCGTACCCTTAGCATAATAAAGGGCTATCCACATACATCAGGGCGTGCTAGTTTGTATGAATTGCGGGCCCGTCCCGGACATGTGTGAACGAGAACATACAAAATATACGCAACGATATTTTTTTGAGCCCCTGATGGAGCACGGCCCGTCCACGTCCCGGGCACGGCCCGGATATGTGTGGATTGACCTTAAAATTGCTTTTATCACATGAAAGTCATAAAACTAAGTAACCACAAGAAACAATTTAAGTATATAAGAAAATTTTACAACTCTCTTATCTAAGTATAAAAAAACTTCTCGACTAATTTCGTTCTAAGAATCTTTAGACCATTCTCCTGAAAAATTATAATTTTTCCAGACATGGCCTTATTATACTTGGTATAATAAGACCACATCTACAATTATTTACTTTACTACCTTCGTTCTTCGTCCGACATCCGTCCGAAGCAATTACTATCAAATAAATAATACACGACCAAATTAAAAGACAATGCCAAGTATGAAGGTTCTTTATGCTTCGTCTTTGAATTTGGTTGATCATTACTTATTTGACAGTTTTGTTTCGGGATGATGTTGGACGGGGAAAGAGAGTACAGCAAACAAGAGTAATGCAAACAAGCTTTTTAAAGCTCCCCGTAAACGATTAAATAATTTCTAATATTGTACGTTTGTAAAATTTTTTCACCCCACAAGCTGGGAAAGACTTTCTCATTAGAAATCTGTGCGCAAAAGCGTTTTTTGAACGGTTTTAACATAACCTAGCTTTTTCTTTCGATGAAAAAAAACATAATGCCACGTTCAACTACGCGATTTTTCGTACATTATTTATGTAATATAAAACCGTTGGTACATTTAATTTATTACTGATAACATAAAATTGATAACGCTAACTAATTTTATTTATTAAATTATTTTGTTATAGTTCAACTGTTTTTCTTTCATGTACCATTTTCCTCGTTATAATGAGGTGAAAAGTTGTGTGTTTCGCTCGGCAGCAAAGTTGTTTTGCGTCTCGTGCCTTGAAATCCTCTCTACGCTCAGGAATTTACATATTTTTTAATCCTTCGCTTGTTCAGGTTTCAATACAAGCACTCGCGTCGCGTCAAACAACAACTTTGCAGCCTTGCACAACAAATAACAATTGATCGTCTGCGGTCGTGTATGATGCGTTTGTCAAATAATCTACGTGTTTGATGGAAATGTATGATAACGGCGTGTTTGACAAACACGATTGAAGATATGTTGGCATGTTTGTCAAACAAAACTTCAATTGTCGCCTATGAGTACACCTTGCTAGATTTCGCATAGTCCTCTGCTTCCGTGCGCAATGTCTTTTAACTTTCGTGGGTATATTTTTATCTCAATTTCAATCATTCTCTAGACACAATGTATAATTTTTTGTAAATAAATGAGAGGCAGGCGGGTCTTGCTTGGAATCTTTATAGTTCTCCCGTCCCGCTCCTACATTGGTGCCGTCCCGCTCGCACACTTAAAAGAGTGCGAGCGGTACGGCTGGCCAATAATAATATAAAAGTTGAAGCGTTGGTAGTAGGACGGTATTTCAAATCTAACCGCGATCTAAGCAAGACCAAGAAGCTCACGAAGAATTCTCAATCAGGCATTTCTCTGCAGTCCCAAGTAGTCCTCATCAAGTGTGGGTCGTCGAAGGGGCCCATAGACCACTTTGGGAAACTATACTCTAAACCAGAGGTTCCTAGACTTTTTTTCTCATAGACCACTTTCAACATTTCTACCATATTCCATATCCATATTATTTTTTGTCACGCCAACGTAGAACCCCGTCGAATCTCCCGTGAACCCCTGGTGGAGCCCCAGGACCACTTTGGAACTAAGGCTCTAGACCAACGTCTATTTCTTTTTTTCTTAATACATAGTGCTAAAGTTAACGCAAAAAACGCTTTATCCGTTATTCTTACTCATTGCATAAATTACAGAGACATGATTCATTGTAAAGTACGGCATGTATGACTGTACAAGGCGATGACCAAGTGTGAACTACTGGCAAGTTTGACAAACTTGTTTGATGCTTTATTTGATCGTTTGCGATATTGTTTGAAGAAAACGTGAAGTTTGAAAGATGAATTTGACAAATAATTTGATCGTTTACGGGGCGTTTAATAATCTTTCGGAAATATTAATAGTGATAATTTAAATCGTACATACAGGCGGTGATCCGAAAGCTACATGTCGTGTCGGTCCTGGGACTCTAATAGGCATGGGCGGCCTCAGTAATAGCCCGTGTCGACCATAATTATTGCTTCTCCATCCAGGCTTAATTGACCTCTGAATTATTTGGCACTGAGGTGAGAATGCCATCTGCGGTAGATTTATCGTCCGTTTTATAACCGGTTCTTTTATTGCTTTGATCTGGAATTTTAGACAAAAAACTATTAATACATTATTATCGACTAACAGTCGCTTCAAATTTCTCTCTTCTAACTTACTGCCGACAACATAACTTTTCATTTTTTGTCTAAAGAAATGTAACCTTATCTCGTAGAATATAAAGTCGCGTCGCAGCGCCAATTTGAGGCTGCCAGTACTGCTGGTGTGTAAGCTAGCATCCAAACTACTTAACGACTGCAATCCTAGTGTCAATTTGCAAACGAAATATGAGTACACCTTAAACAAGTCAATATTTTTCAACTATGGTATTAACTAACTTGGTTTATAGTGACACTTTAGAATATCTTAAATGTAAACCTATACAACTAATCAATTTAGTAAATAGTAAGTTAAATTAAGTATCGACGCTGCGCGCTGTAGGCTCATCACTAGGTTTTGTCTAGCGACAAAGAAGAGTCGCTTTTTATAAAAGGTTTTTGAAATTGAAAAAGTAAAAAACGAAAAACACTTACCATATCCAACTTAGTAGTATCTGGTGACGTATATCTATTTTCCCTGTCCGAATGTGGTAAGCTTATTTGATCAGATTCCTGGCTCAAGAGCGGAGAGGTGTAATTCTTTCTTGACTGGCTCTTGTACAGCAACAGTTCTTCAGACAATTTTTTATCAAGTGACAACAACTGCTTTTCGAACTGCTCGATCATTGAATTATTGAGAATACTAGCGTCTGTATTTTGTATTATTTTCACTACAGCCAAAGCAAGAGGTTTTTCAGAGGGCAAGATACACACCCGTTCCAATATTTGACTAGCTACGTCGTGTCTAAACTTTCTCCCAATTTCGATAACGTAATTTGTCAAGTTAATAAACACTAACTTGAATCGTGAAAAGTTTTGTGTTACAGCAATCGTGTGCATCAGAACATCACACAACAAAATGTCTTGTCCAAAATTGTGTTTGAGTATTTGGCAATAATCATTAAGGTCAACTGTATTAAGATGTAGCAAAGTGAGTTCTGAGACATTCACCTTTAACGTCAAGTCTTCAATGGAGTCAAATTTGGCCTTTGAAATAAAATCTATGGTCATTTCTAAGAGTGTTCCAGTTAAGTGTCTTGCTTGGCATTCTTCTACATACAACAAGCCAAATTTGCGTCGCAATACGGGCCAGTTTCTCATAATCATGTACTCTTGAACGAATACATACTCGTTTAATCGGGTCAGTATATTTTTTACTTCGTTTTCACTGATTTGGTTATGAGGGAATACACACCGAGCCTTCATACAATTGGAAATGAGGTTATAGAAACAAACCCCCTTGAAGACAACACTTCTAGTGCTTGGTGGAGTTCTATATGTCGTGTCAAATATAGATGGTAATTTTCTTTGAACGTTATTAGATGGAGTTGTACAGTTAGTTGGACAGATAGGCAATTTTAAATTCTTATTTCGAACTTCAGGATGGCGTGGGACGTCGCAGTCAGTTTCTCTATAAGTTGAGTCAGCGTTTTGTTTTTCGATTCGAAAATTTTGAACTCGCTCAGATGCTGCAATTTTAGTTGGCTGGTATATATGTCTTTCTAAGTTCACAAAGTCTTTTGTTAGAGGCTGAGGGATGTACTCTTCGTGTTCGGAAGCAGCTACCGACATGGATGCCGAACTATTGAGACGAGAAGATTCTATACCAGTTAAGCTTTCGGCAAACAGAGAGAGTGCGTCGTCGTCATCATTATAAGGCGTTTCTTCAAAGGACATGTACCTATCTTCACTATGTTGTACTTTATCTGAGATAAAATTGTCGTCACCTTCTGAGTTATCGTTTGTAACTTTAGGCTCCTGAAGCGGATCTTCTTCCGCCTGACAGTTCTGATCAAACATGACATACCTACTTCTGCTGGAAGTAAATTCATCATCCTCAGATCTATCAATTGTATTATTGAGCTCCTTATTGGCGCGTTCCAAGAGCTCGTTAGACGATTCTGTTAAATCACATTCATTTTTGCCTTTTAAAAGACTATTGTCAACAGGTGTGAATAACTTCTTTATGTTTCGACAAAGAGTAATGGCTTCATTTTCTTCTTTGAGGATTTTGAACATCTTGCCCTGTATCATTTTGATTTCTGCGTCAACAGTTTCAGTGTCATGTCCTATCCAATTAACGAATTCGAAATCTAACTTCTTTAGTTGCGAAGAAAGCTTTTCTAGAGCAAATTTGCAGATTTCATCTTTAGTTGCGCTGCTTTGAAAATTGCTTTGGTGTGTATAACTTGAGTCTGAACTTAGGTCTAAAGATCGAGATGAATGGCTATAAGAAGAAGTATATTTGGTCACTATATCGCTGGTTTCAGAGTCAGAGTTGCTACAGCAGTCATCGTTTTCTTTGTATTGTCTCCGCCACTTGTTGTCAACATGAGACAGTCTTAACACAGGAATCTTTTTATCAATTCTATAGAAATCGTTGGAATCAACAGTAACACATGTGGTTGTGCTTGAACTCGAGATATCTTTAGTCCAAGAAAGACATTCTGACGTGCTAGTTTTACGAGAGTCAATTGGTAGAGGACTTTTTGGGGCTGAGCGGGTCATTTCTGTGTTTGTGGGTTTTATATCGTTGTGGACCGTCTTTTGTTTGTTATCCAAGAGCGATGGAGAGCTTGGTATGTCAGTTGAAGTTACTTCTTCCAAAGCGTTACCTCTTGTACGGGGTTTCTTGTCCGTATTTTGTAATTTGGTCTCTTTGTTATGTATTTCCTTTACTTGTTTTCGCGGTTTCTTCGATGTTGAATCTGCTTTTTTCATTTGTTTATTTGTAACTATAAACAAAGACAGTATCGCAATTATCATTGATACAATAATCGAACAAACACAAAGGAAAATTCTTTCGATTTGACTGGACTTGAACCAGTGTCTGTTGCCTCATCGTGGTTACCGCTCTTACCAATTGAGCGACTGACCGAGTCAGCAGTTCTTACGCATTTTCCCAATGTGTCCGTTCTGGCCTCCTTGTCATAACTAGCGCATTTGTATTTCGGTATATTTCGGGATATCGGCACCTAGTCATTTTTGTTAGTAAAAACGTCAATCGCGCTGATTTTGCTTAACACTAAAACCGAAACTAAATAAAATATAATAGACCACTTACGAGTAGAGGCTGTTGTAGGTGTCTTTTCGGTGGTCCCTAGATATGTTAATCACTCAATTTGATTAAAAATGTCGCTTACGTTAGTTATGATCAGTGATCGGAATTGAGGGAGTTTTTATACAGAAACTTTGAGCAACGTTAAGAATAATGTGGACATTCCCTTTTACAAATCCCGGTACTAACCGGAATAGATTTTTTGTTTTAAATTATTTTTAATGATTGCTGCGGAAAGATTAGACTTAAATAAACACTTTTTGTTCTTATTAATTTTTCTCAGCAAGCGATAGTTTTCGAGTAAATGAAGGAGAAAAAATTTATTTACCAAGACTACTGGAGTTAAAAAATTCCGATAGATTTTTTTTTTGTTTTAAGTTGTCTAATGATTGTTTTGGATAGATAAGACATAAATAAATACTTTTTGTTCTTATAATTTTTACTCCGCAGGTTATAGTTTTTGAGTAAATTAAGAAGAAAAAATTAATTTACCAAGGTTAGGACTTAGCGAGCGGCTGGTGAGTGCCTAAAACGAATTTAATAATTTCAGAGCCAGTCCAGTAAAAAAAGTAAAGACGTTTAAATACTTTCTTGAAATAGTTATTTATCTGCATAAAAAAAAATATATTCAACACAAGCGTGGCTATTTTGCATGGTTTAACTGTCACTGGGTTAGCGGAGTAGCAAATTAATTAACTTACATTTTCATCAACATGGACTTCTGCAAAGTAACGCCTGAATCTATTAATTATCTACAAATAATTTATAGATTCAGGCGTTACTTTGCTGGAAATTCATTTTTATTAGTATCTTTAGTTTCGTCTATAAAAAGTTGGACTTGGGAATAATTAATACAAAATAAAATAATAAAATTATATATATTTAAAATATATTTTACTCATGTCTCATTTATAAAAATAAAATATAGCTTAACAAAAAATCGAAATCAACTGTAATAAAAGTCAGGAACATATTTAAAGAGGATATCGACACCCTAGGCGCAAACCACACAAACTGGACAAAACACACATGACGGCAATAGAGCACGTGCGCTGAAATGGCGGATCACTCCTCACGCATTTTTAATTTGCTCCTTATTTCGATAAGCATGAAATTTGAATCGATCGAGAAGACGCACGCGCCATGCCAGCGTTAGAAGCCAGTTCTGTATGGCTTGCGCTAGGGGTAAATGCTTCAAAGAGGAAAAATTATCATTCTTCCTGTACTAGATCTGTTTCCCTTTCTTGTAAAGAATTGAAATAGATAATCATTATTTTTTCTATATTTTCTTCTTTAAGTCTATTTCTTTTTACATTTAATATCCACTTGAAGGTTGAGAAAGATCTCTCAACGTCCACAGACGTAAGAGGCGCAAATTTGAAAAAATTTTCGTAATCTGTTTCATTTCCCTTCACAATTTTTTCACCTATTTCTCTAATTACATCATAATCGGGATTTCGATCTAGTACTTTTTCTATCTTACTATTTATTAATTCGTTTGAGGTCCAACTTAAACAAGACCTGACTTTATCAAAAATTAAAAATGAATCAATTATTGATATTTTTTTTGTTTGTATTTCAGTAAGTGCTTCGTCTATTATTGTGAAATATTCATTAATAAAATTAAGCTCTGATACGATATTTTCATTTCGTATGACTCTTTTTGCTTTTTTAATTGATATAGACTCATTGCTGTTAAGACTGTTTAAAACATTCGATATTTCTCTAAAATGTGTAGCATAGTATGTTGCTGCCTTTAGCCACGTGCCCCACCTTGTAATTACAGGTTGTGGAGGCAGCGGCAAGTTTGGATACATGTTTTTTAAAATTCTGACCCGATTTGGGGATTTCAGAAATATCTTTTTGACATTGGATATTAAGGAATCAACATTCTCGTATTGTGAACGAATTTGTTCTGCCAATCGGTTAAGAGCATGAGCTAAACACGTTATATGAATAATGTTAGGAAAATCAATTTTTAATAGGCGTCCAGTTCGCAACATATATGCCACACTATCTGTGCATAACATTAACACATTACTTGTTTTCTCTTCAAATGATTCTCCCCACATATTTCTTAAAGATTCTATTACAAAATCGGACATAGTTATACTGTTCACTGTTTCTAGCATTTTACAAGCTATTAAATATGGTCTGGTAGCCACATTTTGTATAAGTGGCATCACCAATAAATTTACAACGTATCTTCCCAAAAAATCCGTGGATTCGTCAAGTGATAACCAAATCTTGTTGTTTCCGATTACATCGTAAGTAGCTTTTAATTGTGTTTGAAAAAATCTGTTAAAATATTGTTTCCGTAGCAATGATTCTGAAGGTACTGCCTTATTTGAGCAAGTACAACAACATTTTATACATATATACTTGTTGAAAAATTTTTGTAACGTTGGGTTACTCACTTGTGTCCAAGGTATGTTACATAATATTAAAAATTCTATTAAATCAAAATAAAACTCATCCGGGGTTCTTTTTCGTCGTCTTGTATGAAGTGCGTTTATGATGTGCCGATCTACGTTGCTTTTACGAGTAGCTTTTATGTGGGATTCACATATTGTACAAAATATGATACCACTTGCGGGATCGTAAACCAGTTCTGGGTAGTCGACAACCCAGCTATAAACCAGCTCTGATCTTGGTCTATTTTCCATAGTGATAATACCTAAAATAAAAAAAAGCTGCTAATGACCATGTCAAAACATTTTGAAACAGAGTTTTTAAAAGTACTTAATTATATAACTGCCTATTTCACAAAAATACATTTTAAACACATAGTTGGTAAATTAAGAGCCTGTTCTCTTAGGAGCGTTCGACGCGCGTTTTGCTAACGCGCGCTTAGAACTAGTCGAATTTTACTACTAAATAGCCGTATACATAGTTAAAAAGTACGTCTTAAGTTGCACTTTTAAGATCTTTTACGAAGTTCGTAACTTTATTAGATTCAGCGTGCCTAATTTTTTTTGTTTTTTTTTCTCTCTAAAGCCCGCCGTTTTTGGAAAAGATATTTATATTATTATTGAGGTCTCATATTTTTCATTTCATCATAAAAATACCACACGCAAATATCGTAAAACTCAGAAGTTATATTCAATTATAATTTTTTTCAGGGTAGTCACTTTTATGAAGGTACTTTTATATCTGGATGTTATGAAACGAGATAGATCTTTTAAAAATAAAATTAATAATTTTCTTCTTTAACATGTAGAATTACACATTCTTCATAATCATTTTTTTAAGTTAAATAGGTATTCTACTGTACGGTATAGGTATTACTGAGGTCTTTTCTCGGAAATCTGCTTTTTATTCCAAAAACCTATAGGTGTAACGATTAAAAATTGCAGTGTTATAGAAAAAATATATAATTTTGTAATTTGTGTAATTTTTTTCTGGATAAATTAAAAGAAAAAAATTATACTAAAATTAAAAACATTATAAGTAAATATTACATACGTAGTTTAAATGTATCTGTTTATTAGCACATTTTTACGAACCTCGGTAACTTTATTAGATTCAGGGTGAATTACTATTTTTAAATATTTATTTTAATTTTTTATCTCTAAAACTCTGCCGTATTTTCCCACTTTTTTTAAATAATTCTAATTAAAAAGATTGTCTAACTAAAAATTCAACAATAAATAATAAAAAATTCATTCTTACCTTGCAAGTGAAATAAATATGAAGTCCAAGTCGCAGGTAAAAGCTGGTTCAGGGATTCGTAGCGTAAAGTCGTCGTTTTAAGTAAAATCAAAATCCAGATCGCAATGCAAATCAAAAACCGTTGTGAGATAGCCAAGTTGTCAGAAAATACAGAAAAACTCAAAATAACACCCGAACGCATGACAAGCACAACATCGAATAAGAACAATTACAAAAATTGTACTTAATGGGGTTACATGTAACTGCACGCAAGCAGGTATGTTGTCTCGTTCGCTCTTTTTTCCAGTTATCACTCAGACAATGAGATTAGCTTTAGAAACTAACAAAAAAAGATTTTTGTCTCACCACGCGGCACCCTTTGTCGCTTTCTTATCATCGCACGTTCTGGCACCACGCCGACATGGTGGTAACGTGGTCTTTTTAGATGGATTTGAATGGAGAAATTATGCTAGGTTCAATATTATCAGGCGTTTTTACTTGAATGTCAACAACAGGGATAATAAAGTTAACCCTCATAAAACATTTTTAAAGCAGGGATTTCGGTGTTGTCTTGTTTTGTAATATGATGCAATAATAACCGGCATATCATGATACTTTTCAACATTTTTATAATCAAATCATCAAAAATTTTGACTTCTTTTATTACTTTGCAAGTTACATAATTAAAATGCAATAGTGCGTTGTATTATTTATTAATAAAGTCATAAAATATAAATAAAAAAAGTTTAGATAGCAAATTTAAATTTGCAAATATTTTTACACTGAAGATAAGAAAATAGCAAATATCAAATTCGTTTGTAGTACAGCCCACAAAATCAAGCCGTAGTTGTCAAACAAAGCCGGTGAAATTCCAAAATAACAAGCCGGGGTCAACACTTTAGTTTCACAACACGTGCGCACTCAGCAAAAGATTTTACAAGAGTTTTTTGCACGGATATTTCGCTGCAGAAATAAGTAATAGCTTCTCTTTCACACAACGTGGAAAGCCGTAACTGTTATCTCTTTTACACAGTACAGAAACAAGATAAGATAAACTATAAAAACCGTCGATATTTAACAAAGGGCAAAGGTTGTTTAGTTTTAGTTTAATTTTCTGGTTTTTTTTAATACCAGAATGTTGGTTAGTAAGGTCGATTATGTTTAAATTACCAAGTCAAATATTTCAATACGGAACCAGAACATATAAATGTACCATTTTTCACCGAAATTGCATCACCTCATTTTGGCAGTTCATCTTAAAAAAAACTCATCAAAGTGTCCGTTTGACCACAACGAAGTCTGATAAAAACTTGAAAAATTTTTATTTTGTGTGACGAACATCTTGTTTTTACCATTTTATGTATGTAGTACTTATGTTTATGTTAATAACAGCATCAGCGAAGACTGCTACACATTCTGTACCGATCTTAGATATATTTCTCCTTTTGAAAGAACAATTACTTTAGTGAGTCAAACTAAACACTATAATTATTATAAATAAATACCTACGTATAAATAAAACGTAATACAACAATATTAATTTTATTCAGTAGTATTATGAATTTATTCAATAGTAATTTAAATTAGTTCAAGTAATACGTATCCCGGGATATTTTTTGATCATATCACGAAATGGGTATGTCCATACTAAGAAAACGTTCAAACTTTAGGTATAAAAACTCCCTCAATTCCGATCACTGGTTATGATATAAGGAGGACAGCGTTGCAGGTATTAGGTTTAAACATATTTTTGCATTATCGCAATTAGTATTGCAATTATGACAAAAGTTTCAAGATTTCAACAACAAAGGACAATGCCCAAGTTACATATAGTCCAGCTAAAAAAGTTAGACGTCTCCCATGCGCAGATTCAGGGCTTAGTTAGTATTTCCATATACTTTTAGTTACACTGGATTTATATTTATTTTAACAAGGGAAAGTTGATATGCAGCATTTAATATTAATATGTTACTTTGTAATACAGAGTCAAATATCTTGATAGGTACAGTCAGATATACACCAAAAATAACACTTAGTTTAACTACGAAAGACGCCTGTGATAAAAACGGTGCATTTTTTTAATACTTAAAAAATATTGAAAGCGTTGTAAACATTTACTTTTGAACGTAATACAACTTAGTTTTTGTTTCTTTTACAGCTTCGAGACGTGTTTTTCTTGACTTTTCTGACAACTATGACATTGAGAGTCAAGTTCAAGTTAAGGAAGATTTGTCGGTATCATAACTATTTTAATTTTCGTTCATAATTGTCTCACCGTTGGTGTTACGAACGGCCGATGCACACCTGGTCAATCAGAGCGACCGTTCAAGTATTACTGAACCTCGCGAGATAGTTTCGCGTGTTCTGATTGGCTGGGAGCGTCCGCGGCCACACGGCTTAGGCCGGTACGGTGTCGGAGATAAGGAATCAGTAAGAATAAGCATTTGTAAAGTAATTACGAATTCAAGGTCCGTCTTAAGTTCACAGACAAGATGTATCCGCAAAAGTGTAAAACGATAATTGAGAAGTCATTAAGAAGTATTATGGAGGGACCCGCAACAGTTGGACAAATCATGACAAGCGTAAACGAGGTTTGAATTTAAATGTCAAAATGTAAGTCGTGCTACGTTCAAAAACATATTTACTATGTCTTAAATATATTATGACAACGTATTTTTAAAAATTCAAATAGTTTTCTTATATATTTCAACTAAGATTTGATTACGTATTAAAAAGTGCATTTAAATTTTACTCCGGTCGCGACTAAAACATTTGCGAATCTACGTACCAATAATAAATCTACCAGACAATCACACCAATTACCTGGTTTCAAACTCCCTAGTTTGAAACCAGACACTAAGAATACCAGAGTAATGAAATTAACTTTGGAACACTTCCCAGAACACAAGTAGAACTAATTTAGAAAAGTTTATTTCCCAATTTGGTTCTACCGGGAATCGAATCCAGGACCTGTTCATCCAGGGCCCACAGTATAAACTGTTGCGCTACCGAGGTAGTCAAGTCCAAAATGGGCATTGTCCTTTTTGTATTGAAATTTGTACAAAACAAGCTACAGTAGGGACTACATTTTTGGGTGATTTCAATACTAATTTGAAAATACGGTTGTCAATTCCCAATTTCCCAAAAAAATTGCCAATTAAGAACAAATGAATAAACATATAAAATACCTTTTGGTTTGGCATCAGATCTAGGTGTAGCGAGTTTTTTATTAACTCTTTTAGCCGGTTTTTGGTCTTGAACAGGTTCTGGAAAAAAGGTATAACAAATTGCAGCAATATCAAATAACAAAAATCACACCAACATGAGTCACTGTTAACAATGATGTTGCCATTACGCTCCGATGCATACGCAATTACGCAGTCCGCAGAATACGTGAGCTTACCGATCGCGATGTTGATACTGCTAGAATAGTTTACTTTAGTTACTTCCGTATTATAATGTCCTACAGAATTCTCATATGGGGTAAAGCGGCAGATATACCCATACTTGTGTTGCAAATACGAGAGTTTTTGCAGTTTAGGTTCTCGGGTTTATCTCAGAGAATAGATTAAGGAAACTGGTATCATAACTGTGGCATCACAGTGCATTTACCCTAAAATTTTGTATGCCCGTAAAAATGTACATAATTTCATTACGAAAGAAGATATCCATCACATTTAGCTTATAACTAAGTCGAAAGGTACCACGATTTCGTTTAATAAAGGTAACGATTCTTTTATGGGGAACTGTGTACAATAAGATTTTTAGTCAAAAACATACCTGCAGATGTATCCGAAGCGCAGTCAGTCACTATTTCAGGAATATCTTTCGATTTCTTAGTTTTTCCTTTGGTAGCTACATTGGCCTTGGGTTTTCGGAGTGCTCGCTTGGGTTTCTTAGGTTCTTCGACTGGTGGAACCTTTGGTGATTCATTGACTCCAGGTTTCACTAGTTGCGCAAGGGCCACTGTAAAGTAACAATTACAAATTTTTAATCAAAGCCTTTGCTTTATCCTTCCTGACGCGAGTTGCAAAGAGTGGAAATTTCAGCTTGTTGATCACGTTAGTCCCCTGATCACCCCTTAACTGATCATCCCCATTCTTTCCAAATCACATCACGCGTGTCGGCTGTCTAGGTACCTTCGATGTACATTTTTTCTGTATTCCTTACTAGAAAAAATATAAAATTAAAATATGTTGTTTTGTAGTTAATTTAAAGTTATTTCGTAAATGATAGAAATTATTATGATGAAATTATTAATACTGCCACCCAGAAGTCTCAAGTTTGATTGGTTGATTGATATTCGTATGGCCTACATCTATTTCTCTTGTAAGTTTGGGTGTAATTTGTGGTTGTCTATGTGTGTGTGTCCATGGCAACCGCGATACATGGCTTCCCTAGTGCGGGACTATGAGTGTGTGTGTGTTATTATATATTCAATCCGAGAGCCTGTGATTGACTAAATTGATTTATATATTTTTATATTCAGAAAGGCATATTACTTTTTCGTGGAGACAAAAATGAAGTTTAGGTAAATAAGCGTTCGGTTATTCGATCACTACTTATTATTACACATTTAAAAATTTTGATTAATATTAACCTTTACATTCTAGTTGTTATTCATTCGAAGAATTTAGATATTACTTACTGGGTGTTAACCATTGACTTACAATTATATGGACGACGGGTCTAATACAAAAACCACGCAAAAAATGTCCCAAGTCAACCTATTTAAACGTAGTGACATGTAAAGGAATATGAATAAACTAAAACGTTGAATTTAAATTGTAATGTCATCGCAGTACTGTCTAGTTTTGCTTGCGTCGCTGTCAGTCGAACAACGCGTGACTAAAGCGTGAATGACGCTCTGTATACGATTTTAACGCCCTATAAGTTCGGACACTTTTTAGCGCGGACCCGACGTCCATATAATTGTAAGTCAATGGTGTTATTAGTTATTATATTACAATTTGTACTAACTTTAAGAGTAAACGAGAAAAAAACGATCCTGAATATTGTAGAGTTCCCGCGTCTTACAATATGAAACATGAAAAATGAAAATTATGAAACATCTACAAAAGGAAAATGATTCGACTTTTGATACGACACGACAACTTCTTTGGAGGGAAAAAAGGGGAAGAGGTCGACCTAGGCGCAGTTACATAGACCCCTAGGCGCAGTTACATAGACCAAATAAAAGAAAATCGTGTCATACAACGAGGTCAAGGAGATGGGTTAAAAGAGAGATGATTGGAAGATGCTCCACCGACAAGAGTATAAAGGCACGTTACACCGTAGCGGATCCGGGCTGTCACAGTGCCGAGTCGTTTCAAGTTTAGATGTCTGTAATAAATTTTAACTTATACACAAGATTTCATGATCTTTCAGAGGAAGTGACTAATTAGTTTTTCATCGATTCTAATAAAATACACTTTTTGAGTTAATACACGATTGTATTAACAGTGGGACATGATGAGAGCATTTTGCGCTTGCGCTGTCCACTACACTATAATGACTACACTGACTACCCTCCGGGTGCCCGGCGAATGCATTCATATTACGACGTGTCGCGATCGGGTCGGTTTGGAACCGGAAAAAAACACTCGACGCCGTGCCCCGACCATGACTCGGCCGTAGCACGGACTCGGCCCGGTCTAACATGAAGTTCATACAAAAGCATATATATTTGACCGTGTCACGGCCGGCACACGACCGGAGAACGGCACGGTGTAACATGAATCTGCCTTTACTCTTGAGTTTGATGATGATAACTAACCTTGTGTTTGATCTGCCCATAAAAAAAGACATTCTGTAACTAATCAAACGTTAATCTGTATTGTACGGTTGTATAAATCAAAATCAAAATAAAATCGTGTACATATAACCCACATAAGTAAGTATAACCCACATAATAAGCAAACAGGTAATTTTCCTTTAAACAAACTTTTTACCTTTCGTGTTTATAAGATGCAGACAATGATTTGAAATTTAAATACGAATTAACATTAACTCAATACACTTTCCAACGTTTTTTAAAATTAAATTTGTTAAAAACTTTTGCATGACGACAAGCTTCAGAAAACATTGAAGATTTGATGAGAAATAATATTTGACACTAAGTAAAATAAAGGAAGTACCTTCTAAGAGGTCAATATTTTGTATTGTCAATTCATTATTTAGAAACAAATAGCGTCACTAAACAGAAATCTGGCTTTTTAAAATTTTAACTTATTAATAGAAACATTAATGTTAATTTCCAGAAAATGGATTTTTTCTTTCTGGGTATTGGTATTGGTTCAAATGTGTTACGTGTTTTATTTTTCTTTATCTTGTGGTTCTCACCACAAAATATAAAACAAAAGATCTCTAGGTAATAAAACTATTTTTCACTTCACATGCTCTTAAAGTTCGTATTTATGCTGGGTGTAAGTAGGCTGCATAAAATATGATTTTATGGTCTAGTGTATAAACTAAAACAAACCATCACATTAAATATGTCTAATTGTGGTAATTTTACATTCAATTTTAATTAAATAATCTTTTATTGGTAATATTGCTGTTCAATTTCCTCGCAATCGAAGTGAAAAGCAGAGTGTATAACTCGTTCGTAAAACCCATTTTACCCTCGACTTAAGTATCCACTCCCGTCTGCGGCTCGGGTAGATATACTCGTCTCGGTGAGAATGACGCGTTTTATGCACTTGTTGTACAATCTACTATTTTGGATCTAAATTGCGTACCTACCTAAACCAACGTTTTGAGACCTTTACAGGTCCCGTGGTCACGGTTGTCTGGTTTGTTAGAAAAACAAATATACGTGGTTGAAATTCGAAAAATAGTTTTATTTCCTATGTGAAACAGTTGCGAAAAACAAAGAACTCAAGTTTTTCATGTACTTCCGTTCACAGGCCGCACTTTTATTGCACACAATAAGGTAGATTGGTGGCGAGTTCTATTTTTCGATTGGTTAGGTTCTCGCGATTGTTACACATTGACAATTGAACTATTGTGTTGAACCCAAACAGCGTATATTTATTTTTTACAAACATACCAACGTTTCGGGGCTTTTACAAGTCCTATGATCACGGCTGACAGAGTTTATATTGTTAATTCAATATTAGAATCACGCAACCCGCAGAATGCCTTTAAAGATCTACGCTTAATTAAAATAACGAATAAATAATGGTGGTCTGAAAATTGCCCTCCTCTGTTTCGGTTTGGTGATTATAGTCGTTGCACCAATACTGTGTCAAACCCAAACCTGCCTGCGATAAGACGTAAGACGGAAGAAAAAAAACAACTGTATTTATAGTTCTGTGTGTACAATAATGTCATCAAATCATGTGAGCTCGGCATTCAAGGTGTATAAATAAATATATGTACACTACAGAATTGGTTTCTTGGTTTGATTTAAGATTTTGTCGAGAATTGAACTGTTTGCTTGTCGCAGCAGCATTTCACTGATTATATTATAAAACAATTATCAAAGACGGGGTTCAACCTTTGTACATTATAGCTTGAACCTTTTCAAGGCGAGAGTGAATAGGCATTATTTGTGTCATTATGTCGCTTTCCATCGGGTATAATGGAGGTCAAATATGCCATTTTTATTTCAAATAAAAAAATAATATTATCTAGTTATACAAACAATTATTAATTATCTTTATATATAAATTTAAATACAAATTATAATATTGTTCCAACATAATATGTCTTAGGATTACTTTTTCAAATTATAATTAATTTCGTCCAATTTAGAAGCTAAGTATTTCTATGTAAATCGGTTGTCTGGGATGCCATGATACAGGCTTGCCTAGTGTGGGACTGACGTAACAATATATTCATGATCGAATTGTTGCTATCTATCTGTCAAATAAATGTTATTTTATTTATTTATTTATTTTTATTTATACTAATCTTAATTGCACACAAGAACACATACAATATATTTCAATCCACGATTTTTTGCATAAACGACATGGAAACCGCGTGGCGAGCGTATATTATTTAGTCGTAATTCATATCATTTTTCCATACAATATTTCGCTACATTATATTAATAATAACTTAACAATGCACACATTCATAGCCCCGTACTAGGGAAACACTATATCGCGGGTGCTATGGACACATACATAAACAACCATAAAGTACACCCAAAGTCATGAGAGAAATAAATGTAAGTTATACAAATATTCCTCCCAGCCCAGGCAGGAATCGAACTCGGGACCTCTAGGTGGCAGACCAGGGTGGTAACCATTCGGCCTCAGAGGCAGTATATTGCTATTAGTGTCAGAAGATGGAGGATTAATTTATATGTCTAGTGTGACTTGGAAGCTTCTCCTGACGTACTCTTGTACCAAATTAAAAACTAACAGGAAACGTTAAAGACAGGCAAATTTATTTCAAGCAATAAAATGAAGTTGGTGTTGCAGCAATAATTAAACAAGGGAACATTTGAGGTGGTAAGTTATGGATGTCAACTTTGTAATGCCTGATTCCTAACGCTAGGATATTTAATGAGCAGATTCTCAAATTTGTTGCAAAAACTAACTTGAATTGCTTTTAGATTTGTAATTAGCGTGTCAAATATTATAACTGTAAATTAAAACATTCGCTGAAGCTTATGACCAGAAATTGGAGTAGACAGGGAATTAATATTGGCACAGGCAAGGTAAAACATCTAACGTGCTTTTGAAATTATACAAGAGCAATTAAAATAAATTTTTTTAAGGAAAAAAAATTATGTCTCTAATTTTATTTGCTTTGTGGAAAAGTGGAAACTTTCTAGTTGTCCAGCATCAATATGTGGACTGAATAATCGTCCCTGTGAAATACTGGAAATATTTAATTGTAATTATTTTACTATGATAGTGTGTTTCAGAGAAAAGTTTTGTATTTGTAAAATTATATTATTTTGATTCCTTGCCTTCTATTTTTAATAATTCCAGATTTTAGAGGGAGGTATTATCTACTCTGTAAACTTTTTACCCACAGAAATTAGAGAAACGTAAAAAAAATAATTATTATAAAAATGTTCATTTGATCCACTGGCCACATAATTCCCAGAATGTTAATTTGAAAATAGAATAACTTCTTTTATATTTAAAGGAACCTTTTTTAGCATTCTTCTAAATATGTCCTTGACTATAATTGGCTTATACTGTGGATTCAATCCAAAAGCTTGTTAGGTGGGTGTTTGCTATTTACTAGTTGAGGCTAAGAGTGTTGGTCATATAACCTCTCCTCCTAATTTTTACTCGAAATCCACTTTGTATGAACGGCTCTTATTTACATGTCGACAACACTAATCGGAGATAGGTGTGGGACTACATAAGTTACCCGCAACCTCATTATTAAATTTGTTGAATACTCATTATTAAAATTATTCGTGGTCACTTTATACCTTCATTAGCGAGTTCAATTTTTCTCCGTAGAGCTCCAATAGGTGACAGCCGTCTCTTCTTTTTAGGCGTAAGTTCAGGCTCTTTGATTGGAGACACAACATTTTCTGAAATAGAAAGAGATTTTAATATAACTTTCATTTTAATTTTCTACCCGTTACAGTTTAATGATATGTCACACACAAGTCGTTGAATTTAAACAATAGTTATGAGTATCAAATTTAGAGATAAAGCTGATTCAGAGTTTTTATAACCAGTGTCCAATTACTACATACATTTGCAAATATTTCGGTACTTACGAGATTTTCTTGGCACCGGTATTTTAAGTTTTATTACAGTAGGCGTCCTAAGTTTCGGTTTCTCCACCTTTTCCCTCTTTGCTCTCTTTCTAGGAGGCTTTTCTAGGATATTTTTATTAGGAGCAGAAGTTTGCTCGACATTTCTCTTTGGAGGCATTTCGCGCGGAAGTTTTCAATTCACGTCGAGTTATGATTATCAGATGATTACATTTCCGCAGTGATAACTACCAATTCTTTTCTTTTTTCACTAATTCTCTAACTATTAAACAGTGGAATGTCGCAATACGCAAAATGTTGGTGTGCGGAAATTAAATGAACGGCAAAAACTTTAAGGTTAGAAAGAGACTGCGATAGAGAACAAAAATATTTTATTCACACTGCACCTTCATTATACAAAACCTATAAACCATTTAACTGTTATAAGTGGTGGTATAAAATGAAATGCTAATTCAAGACGTCAGATTTGTCAGACAACAAGGAACTTTTAAAAGAAATTTTTATGTGGATGGGTGGATTTAATTTTCTTAGAGCGCTTTCTTTGCGGCTAAGTGCTAATGTAAAAAGAGATTCGTATATACATAATACATAGTATTATAACAATGCATATATAGTGCTCTTTCTGTTGTTCGTAGTGGTCATCACTCATCATCATCAATTAGAGCACAACAATTTCAAGGGTGTAGGTGAGGTAAGGGTGTAGACGAAGGTCAAACAAATAAGATTCGCTCTGGACCTTTTGGAGGGAAAAGTGTCGTTTTTATTTTGACTTTCAATTATTTTGTGAAATCTAGTTTAAAGTGGAATAGGATAGTGATATTGTGCCTTAATCGAAGATTAAAACGCGAAATTATACGAATCTCGAACTAAAATACCCGTATCGGCCCGTTTTAAGGAATTCCGAGTCAATCCAAGCACGCCGCATCAAATTGCCTATCCTCTTTGTGGCGGCCATATTTACAGAAACATAATTAAACTACATGTTTAGGCTGATGGCTTTGCCAAAGCCTAAATAATTTAAAAAAAAAAAAATCAAACAAATAAATGAGAACTAGAGATCTGTATCGCGACATCTGTAATTTAATGGATTAATCGGCCCATTGATCTCTTCAAATTAGTTATTATAGATTTTTTTAATAAGAACAAAAAACAACAACAAAATTTAGACAAGAAAAATGATGCAAATGATTTTGTTTTTTGATAAAATACATAAAAATAATTAGATGTTCCATTTTTTAAACTTATAGCATTAAACAAAAAGGTTACAGTTGGATGTAACTACTGTAGGGTAATTTTCCAAAAAATTTCAAGTGGAAATTTTTCAAAATGGAAATTTTTCCAGAAAACTTTCCGAAAATATGGAAAAATATAGTTCGGAGGCTCATAATACGTTCTATGTTTAGATTTATCTCTTGAAATTTTATTTAGCGTGAATTATAAAATAAAATTGTATAGCTAAAAGCAAGTTCGAGTGAAACAAAATTTACAATTATTGGACAACAACGAAATAAACGATAGGTAAAAATTTTTATAATGCTACACCATTTCCGTTCAGTATCTTCAATTTTTGACAGGTGTCAAATGTGGAAAAATATTTATTTTTCTGAGCAATAAGAATTTTTATCTTTGGCCTGGATCCCAGGTCATTCTGGTATAGTCGGTAACGACGCCGTTGACCTGATGGCAAAAGATGCCACTGAAATTGGATGTCCTAATTGTCCTACTTACTCACAAGTATTCTCTCATGACTTGCCCTTACTGGCAACTCAAAAGATGATGTCCACATGGGAAGTCGAATTTTTTTTTTTTTTTTTATACGTGACAGGCAAATGACTCCACTCCACCTGATGTTAAGTGGAAAGTGGTATCCAAACGCGAAGGAACCTAGTGCAGCGATGAAACCCTCACTGCACTAGCCACCTCCACCCTGCCTGCCTACAATTGAATTGAATGGAAAGAGAATACCAAAGTGAAAGGAAAGCATTATGCGAACATTCAAAATGTCAGCCTGAGTAAACCTTGGTTCTTTAAATTTAACGAAGCATCCAAATCTTGCACCTTCACCATATGTAGATTAAGGCTCGACCACTCGAGCACCCCAGTTCACTTAGCTAAATTTAGGGTAAATGACAGCTCGCTTTGCGAATACGGGCTGGACGAAGGATCTCCGGATCACATTTTCTTAAATTGTAACAAGTACCCAGTCTCCTTGTACGATGTCGTTCCCTCATTCATTCTCAAACCCACAAATTTCAATACGATTTTAAGTCTTGTGGATACGTCTTGCATCAATGTCCTTTGTGATTATATAACCAGCAATAACATAAATTTATAATTTGTTCGTCCTGCCTAATACACTTACCTACTAACATTTGTCTATATATATTGTTCTCCGTCCCTTTCAGGAAATTCAACAGCTCTGCAACTTTAAAACCTAATAAGAAAGGATTTTTTATATCACATTGTGCTCTCACAATACTCATTGAATAGCAGAGTCTACAGAAACCCTTAAAATTACTAAGCAGAAAACTCGATACTGGTGAAATTTAAAGGGTAGCGCCATTAAGCAAAAAGAAGAAGAATTTTTATAAATAAAAATTTTTCCATGACCCAACACTAGATGTATAGCAACTAAAATCCGAAATTACACATGAATGTTGCAATTACTTGAAAAATTCATAAAGAAATTTGTTACTTATGCAATAGAATAAGTTACAGGTAACAATTTTGTAAAAACCGTGGAAATATAGTCACACAAAATTTAGTTCTGTTAATTAGCCATAGATGTCGCTAGAAAACCACCTATAGTTGACAAAGTCCTCTACTAATATGTTTTTCTTCCTTGTCTGTGCTCAAACCCAAAGGTCGTTGAGGTTATTTACGTCAAAACGATTCCGTAATAAAAATTGCCGGCATTTACGAATAAAAAATAATTAAAATGCCTGCGAAATACAAGATTGTTATGATTCGCCATGGCGAAAGTGAATGGAACCAGAAGAATTTATTCTGTGGTTGGTACGACGCCGATCTCAGCGACAAAGGTGAGACATAAGTGAGAAGCGTTCCTAAAGGTGACCCGATGGGGTTGACCTTTTATAGAGATGATTTAATTTGCTAGTCTTTCTGTCCTAAGGTCGTGAGGAAGCTGTGGCTGCCGGCAAAGCGTTAAAAGCTGAAGGATACGAATTTGACATCGCCCACACATCAGTTTTGAAGCGAGCTCAAGTCACACTAAACAGTATTCTGACGGAGTTGGGTCAAACCAACATACCAATTGAGAAGACTTGGCGTTTAAACGAGAGGCACTACGGTGGTCTAACTGGCTTGAACAAGGCCGAGACTGCAGCCAAATATGGAGAAGCTCAGGTAACTGGTGTGTTATGAATTGTTGATGGCCAAAAAAATATTTACTGAGTGAAGGCACAGTCAGTACATACACTAAAGGCCGTTGGCAGAATATAGATATTACAAGCTGAGGTCCTGGTAAAATGACATACATTGGGGGCTGGCCTTGTCCAGTTGTGAACTGCAGTGATGATGATGAACAACTTAATAACATTAAACTTTAACCAGCAATTAATTGCTTTATACTTAATATATCTCACTATTATTACAATAGTGTTGTAACTTGAAATAAGTGAAATTCAAGATTATACCATTGTTGAATGTAAAATTTTAATCTCTACACATCAATGTAACTGTCATTAGAATATTGTGAGAAACAATAAAATTAAAAGACATCTACTCACAAAACGAGACAAACTTTTTGTGAGCTAGTTCTGGACAAAACAGTCATTACTCAAATGAATTATTTTGTTCCTTTTATTTTTAAATATATTTGGCATATAGGAAATAGAAAGTGTATATTCTGCCATGAGGCGGATGAAACGCCCGTGTATCTCTTAACCCAGTGCTGCCCTCTAATGGGCGTATGAAGTTCCATACTGGGTAGGCACAGGCCACACCCAGAGGACATAAAAACTGTCAGAGCCCAGAAAGTTCTTTAGTTCTTTAATATTGTTGACCTTGGCTCCTAACTGTAATTAGTGGTGATCACAATAGACCAGTCAATGGTTGCAGTGATGGGCCCCTCATAGGCATAGGCCCCGAATGAAGCCACTCTAATAATAATAATAATAATAATGTAGGTAATTGTTTAGATGTCTGTAATAAACTCTAAACCTACACAATTTTAATAATCTTTCACGAGAAGTGAGTAATTAGTTTTTCATCAATTCTGAAAAAAATTTGCTTTTTGAGTTAATACACTATTGTATTAACTGTGCGGTATATTTAATTATTATTTACTTCCAAATATAAATAAAAAAAGTGTTAGATAATACAACAAAACCTTAAAAGTTTATTTTTGATAAATTTATTATGTTTTGTGAAAAGTCATGGAACCAAAGTTGCTGTTTCATATAGGGCACAATTAATGCAATAATGTATTACCTCAAAAAGTATATTTTCTCAGAATCGAAGCAAAACTATTTACTCGCTTCCTGTGAAAAATCTGTGTAAATTTATGTAAGTTATTTCCTATTTGCCAACTATACATATTTAAAAATAAAAGCGAAAAAATAGTTTCATATTTTTGAATAAGGACTATTTTAGCCAGAACTAGCTCACATGAAGTGTGTCTCATTTTGAATTAAGTAGTTAAGTAGATATCTATTAGTTGTTTTTTACAATATTCTAATGACGGTTTTATTAACGTGTAGAGAATCAAATTTTACATTCAACAATGGTATAATCTTGAATTTCGCATATTTTGAGTTATAACACTATTGTAATAGCAGTGCGATATGTATGTACAGTCTTGTGTAGTTAATAACATAAAATATACTTGTAAAGTTCATTATGCTACATACAATTTTGTTACAAAAATTAGCTTCCATTCCGTGGTAGTGTAAATTGAGCCTAATGAACTATGTACATGTTTAATATGTAACTAACCCTTGTAGTTCTCTTAGCTCCAATTTCACTAAATATAGATGTTCCTTAGGTGCAAATCTGGCGCCGCAGTTTTGATGTACCTCCCCCAGCAATGGAGAAAGACCATCCTTATTATGAGACTATCGTAAAGGACCCTCGTTATGCCAACGACCCCAAACCTGAAGAATTTCCCATGTTCGAAAGTTTGAAGCTCACCATCGAGAGGACTCTGCCTTATTGGAATGATGTTATTGTGCCACAGGTTTGTTTTATAATAGTTTTGATAAGAATTAGCACATACATCTGCTTACAGTTTTTACATTTTTGTTTTTATTTTTTAAAGCTGAAGGAATGAAACGTTTGGCTTTTTATTATAGCTACTTGTTAAACATTATACATTTGTAAAGGAAACTTCAAATTATCTTTTTAACTATTGTATTAAGTAAACAGATTTCTCTAGGATTAGTAAGGCGCCTATAGAATTGTTTGATTTGTGGCAATTGTTATTATTGCTTGAATTAGTGTTTTGACAGTCAATAGGTGCCTACCTACAGATTAGCTCTATCCTTGACGATCGTTACTGTAGTCTGAGAGTTGCTCCTCGGTTTCGTTGATTGTTACTGTTATTAAGATATATTAAAGTAAAAATCGAAAAAATTCCTATGTCGGTGGACAAAAAATACGTTATCGACCGATTATTTCTTACACATTTGCTCGATTTTGTCTGATCATACGTGTCGATCGCCAAAAAATGCTATTTGGATCGTGTGTTCCTTACACATTTATGCGGTTTTTTTATCATGTGTCAATCGTCAAAAATCTGAGCTAATCTGTAGACACCTTTAAGAATAAGAATGTAACTCATAACTTCATAGTCTATTAGATGTGGTGAAAAATATTATATGAATATTCTATGAGTTTATTTCTTAAATATTATTACTCTTGAATCTACAGATCAAAGAGGGCAAGAGGATAATCATCGCCGCTCACGGGAACAGTCTCAGGGGCATTGTCAAGCATTTGGATGGTAAGAACGTATATAACAGACAAAACTTTTGAGAGTAGTTAACTTTTGACAGCCTAGATAAAACAAATCTATTGACTTTAGCATGAACGTGAAAAGCTTACTGGATTAAAGAAAGTATTTCATTCTAGTTCTTTCCATAACAAGTTACATTGTTCAAAATGTTCCACTCAAATTGTTTAAATATTAAAAATCGTAAGCTTCCAATTGTGGCTGTATGCCAGAATTCCAAGTTATTTCACATATTAATAAATTACATAATTTTTTATAGGTAGGTGTCTCCGTAAATGTTGAGTTGGATTTAGTCACCTACTTTTTCAGAGTTTTTTCATTATATTAACTGCCTCTGTGGCCGAACGGTTACCATGCCGGACTGCCACGCAGAGGTCCCAGGTTCGATTCCCGGGCCGGGAGAAATATTTGTATGGCCTACAATTATTTGTCTCGTGAGTTTGGGTGTAATTTGTCTATGTGTGTGTCCATGGCACCCGCGACACAGGGTTTCCCTAGTGCGGGGCTATGTTGAGTGTGTGCGTTATTTATTACTATTATTATTATTATATATATTTTTTTTCAGATCTCAGTGAGGCCGCAATTATGGGACTGAACCTTCCCACTGGTATCCCATTTGTGTACGAGTTGGACGAAAACATGAAACCAGTAGACTCCATGGTATTCCTTGGCGATGAGGAGACCGTGAAAAAGGCCATGGAGGCAGTAGCTGCTCAGGGCAAAGCTAAGTAGACTAATAAGTATTCTACATTGTTACAATGTATAAGTTAATATTATATTATAAATTAAAATATTTCTTTTGCAATATTTATTTTGTTGAATATCATGGCTCAGTTGGAAGAGCGGTAGCCCTGGTTTGGCAAATAGTCGCTGGCTCGAGGCCAGCCGGATCGAAGGAATTTTTCTTTGTTTATTCGATCTTTGCATCAATAATATGGATACTTCTTTTGCATTACAAGGTATAACATGTAGTGAAAAGAGACAAAACACGAATAATTAAACATAAGTAAATTGGTCACAGATATCGCACATGACAACTAACATAGTATTATCTCAAAAATTGCCTTATATTTCATTTCAAAAATTGCGTTATATTTGTAAGTTTGTGCATGATTTAATTTCAAAATGACAGGACAACACTATAATATGACATACATATAATGCAATTTTTGTGATAATTATATGTTAGTTGTCATGAGGAAGGATTACATCATATATATATTAGCCACTAATAAATAAGATGTTGTAGACATAGAATTGTATGTTGTATCTTGAAATATTTTAACTAATCTCAAAATAAGTAGAAATGTCATCTTTATTAAAGTCTATGTGCTAATTATAACGTAACAGTTTCTGGGCTAAAATTTTACAGAACCATTGAGATAGCATCACTGGATGATTGCCAGCTGTGGAGATATATTTGTTATCGTTATCAAACTAATTTATTGAACTTAGTGTAAATGTGTCTGTCAAATGAAATAAATTGTTTGAACGTAAAAAAACTTTTACTATCGTAAAGCACCTATTAATTTTCATAAAACATTTATACTTCGTTATTTTTAACCTTCAGAAAAGAAGGAGGTTATTTAGTATTTTTTTGTATGTATGTTATTTGTGAATGGATTTCTTCGGTATTTGTAAATGTATTTTGATGATTCTTTTTTTTTTATTGAAAAGAGGGTACCTTATTATTGGTCCCATTAAAATTTGAAGAAAATATTCCACCTCTACAGGTGGCAAACTAGGGAAGTAATCTGGTTTCGCGCACTTCCTGGTAACCAACTTCAATAAAAATTTGTAATACAAATTTCAGTAACTCTACGACGTTTTGAGGTCGGTGTTTTTAAATAAAAATGTTATAATTACTGCCTTCGCGGCCGACCGGCTACCACAGTGGTTCCAGGTTCGATTCTCAAGCTTGGAGAAATATTTGTATGGCCTACATTTATTTCTCTCGTGAGTTTGGGTGTAATTTGTGGTTGTCTATGTGGGTGTGGTGTGGGGACACAGGGTTTCCCTAGTGCGGGGCTATGTTGAGTGTGTGTGTGTGCGTTATTATAGGTGTATAGATTTTAAAAAAGATACACAATCAATAAAATTTACCAGTTTTATGTACACCTAGTGCGGGGCTGTTGATTGTGTGCGTGTTATAATTATTACAATTAGATAAATACGCGATCAAAGAGCAATGATCGTGAACCATTTTCTTCAGTCGACAAATTAAATTAAGGGAAAACATCACTGTCCTCCTTGTCATAACCAACGCATTTGAATTTAGGTAACTTTCGACTAATTTGCACCTACTTGTAGTTTCTTTTTTCTTTGTAAAATATAAATGACGCAGATTTTGCTTAACAATGAAACTGAAACCAAACAAGATATAAAAAAACAGCTTATAGAGGGTTGTAGATCTCGTTTCGCTTATTCTAGATATGTGAATAACTCAATTTCGCTTAAATGTCGATTAGGTTAGTTATTACAAGGAGGGAAGTGCAGTGGCGCGTCTTTAACGCTTCTGAAATTTTTAGTTCGCAAATTGTGACTCTAAATGCTGCATCTAAATATTATAAGAACATTAGTAGTGCGCAGTACAGTGGTGCTGCTGCAGCTCTTTTATAACCATCTAATTTAAAGGCGCCCTTATACTGAACATTCTAAAAATAAGAGACCCCCACACTAGCATCTTTCGAGCGTCAGCGTCGTGCCAATACACGCACAGCGTCGATACGAGACGTCCGCGCAGAGAGAACGCAACGTAGTATCCGTAACTAATTTGAGGACGCAACGCTAACACTGAGTGACTACTGAATAGTGCCGACCATAGATGACACACTATACTGAGTGTCGACAGTCGGGTATGCGTTGCGTTGCGGTCGCGCGGACGTCATGTCAATGCAGTACTAGCTTTGGCAAGACGCTGACGCACGAAAGACGCTAGTGTGGGGGGTTTCTAATAGTTACAAAAGGAAAACATTGTGAGAATCGATGAGAAACGACACTATAATATTATTATTATTTTATTAAAAGTTTTCGTTTAATGTGTGGAAGCTGTTTCTTTAAATTTTTTATAGTGCAATTCTTTGAAATAGATACAGTATGTAAAGATAAAAAAGTGATTTAATTTACAATAGTGAATACCACGACTTAAAAAATTTTGGTTTCACGGTATTTATTAAAATGCTTTGCTTACAAAACGACTGAATGAATCGGCGCCTGATCATAAGACCCAATATTTTGTACTGTCTAATAAAAACTAAATCAAATATAAGGGTCCATTGTTTAACCACCTAAGGCCCCGTGAACATCACAGCGTTAATATATGAAGTCATTCCGACCCAGACAATATTATTCCTATGATCATTTAAACGCCCAGTGTACATTATAATGTACACAGTAATTATAAACTGCCTCTGTGGTCGGGCCGGGTGAAATATTTATATTGGCTACATTTATTTCTCTCGTGCGTTTAGGTGTAATTTGTAGTTGTCTATATGGTGTTCCATGGCACTGGCGATACAGGGTTTCCCTAGTGTGGGGCTCTAATGCTCTGGCCAAACAGAGGCGGCTGCGGAAGCGTTCCGAACGCGGGAATTTTTGTAATGTACGAGTTTGTATCAACCCTGCCACACTGAAGCGCGCGGCGGCCGCGCGTCTACCGCGCGTTTCAGTGTAGCAGAGTTCATATAAACTCGTACATTACAAAAATTTCCCCGTCCGGAACGCTTCCGCGGCCGCCTCTGTGTGGCCTGAGCATGACTGTGTGCGTTATAAAAAATTCAAATTTAGCGCTATATATTCTAATATAACCGTAGGGTATCTCACAAAATGTTTTTCATACACAAGTGAGGGCAGGTAAGGCATTTGCTTGGGCCTGAAGCATGTATTAAAATTAGGCGTTTAGCGCTTTTCCCATTGTAATTGACGAGAATAAATCTTTATTTCGAGGTGTACATATCACAATATTTATTTTAGGGTTAGCATCTCATTTATTTATTCCGGTAAACTGTTTTTTAGATCATCCACTATTACATCCATGTTAACATCCTGAGAAGTACCTTCTTTGTCATCTTTTGTGAATTTTTTACCGGTATATTTAGTAAATCCCTTTTGCCTACTATTAGAAAAAGTAAATTTCTTTCCCTTAACTTGACTATCTAACTCCATTTCTTCTTCACGTTGTTCTTTTTTCTTCCCTTTATTTTGTTTTACTTTTGGGTATTTTGGTTTTTGGCCGAATCTAAAGTCTTTTGGTAGTTTGTGTACTTTTACGCAATGCTCCAATCGTTCATCTCCATTTAAGAATTTGTCTTTACATTCTTCAATGTAACAGCAAAACTGAAAAGGTTTAAACATTTTTTCATTATATTCTTTTAACTATTCAATATTGATCTCTATCTGTATATATTTACGAACGTTAAGCTTCATAAAGCGAGATATCAATCCCTGATTAAAACACAAATTTATTTTTTAATTATTCAGGGTGGGCTGGAGTTGAATCCCATTTGTCAGTGGCTTCAAATGAGTGCTGAGTAGCCCCGTGTAAAACATTTGTTTTGAGTAGACTTCGTGGGGTGTATTGACAAGTGACTTCCAACTCTAGTGGCCGAAAAGGCTATTTTCGTGACCGTAGTGTTATTTACAGACTTTGGGACGTTTACACTACCTTATACAGGGATAGCCCAATGAAACAACGTTTGGTTTGTTAAAGTGCGCCTGCCATTCGTCTGTTCACACCGATATCTAGCGTCATAATGGCCAAAACGCATGCAATAAGCATAGATATCAAGTAATGAAGCTTTTCCAGATGTGGGATTACTAACCGAAGGTTTCTTGGCAGCCATCACAGCAAAAAATGAATCGTGTTTCTCTTGTATATGCAAGTCCAATAAGTGTGGAGAAGGTAACACTTTCTTGCATTGGCTGCATGAGTATCTGTGTGAGGCATTGTAGTGATTTTCGAACTCCAATATTGACTCGGCTGTAAATTTGCAACCGGGGACGTGACAGGTTGTTTTTATTCTATGGAAATAAGAACAATAAAATGTAAGTACGTAATTATTTATGTTAATATTTAGAATTCAAAAGTTGTTTAAAAACTAACTATAGGTACTTTTTTAAATTTGAAATAAGTTTTTGAATTGGATAGTAAATAAATTTTCAGAACAGTCTGAAAGTTATTGTGTAGCAGTTAAATGAATTTCCTAATTGTTTGTTTCATATACGAAATTACCACCTTACCACTGAAACTTATTTTCGAATGACTAGACCACAAAGTACCTACAAAGTTTAATAGTTTATATATATATATATATATATATATATAAAAAATATATATAATATATATATGTATCTATTTTTCCGGATTTAAATCGCGTATATTTGTTTTTTCAAACAAAGCATGTGTAAACTGCTCACACTATAGGCACATTCATTATTTTAACTGTGTAGACAATCATATTAATTTGTCAGTGCCTATGTTGGTCTGTACGCCAAATATTTTTCCAAGACCCAGTAGAACACAAATTGCATTGCATTGAAAAAAAAAGGAGGTATTATTTTGATACGCATTGTGGGAGGATACATTGCGCAGCACAGAAACGTATTTAATTTTATTGAATAACTTACACATCATGACACAAACTTTCTTCGTCCACATCATAAATACCCAAACGAGGTGGTGGTTTTTCGTTAGCGAATAAATCATCATCTAACTTACGACGTCCCACCCCATAAGTCTTTAGTTTTTCCAATAATATATTTTGCTCGATCTCCATTTTCCTGCAACATATTAAATGCTAAGCAAACTAGGCGGTGCAATACAATTAAAGGTCTATAAATTCTTTTACCGACACTGTTCCATGTACAAAAAAAATTACATTTGATTTATTAATTGAAAGTACGATAGTTGTCTTATTTAGTTTTATATCCATAAGGACGTTTATTTTTTTTAAATATACATGAAAAGCTCCTCCCTCCTCCTCCACCACCTCCCGGTCTCTGTGTCTGCTGCGTTACCACAAATTTATTTTTTAATTTATTAGCTCTTGCATGCATAATCGACATGTCTTTGGTACAAATGAGTCTTTAGGGAAACATTCACGATTACTAGGCATTTGAAGTTTTATCTCTAACATTATCAATAACACAATTTATTTAATAAATGATAAAAATGAGATAGAACGTTTTGCTAATCATCGTAAACAAAGTTTTGATATATAATATTTGTATGCTCTAAGTTTTTTTTATTACTTCTTTCATACATAAGGCTTGACTCTTAAGATTTAATTTCAACTCCATGTTGTTACGATAAGAACGGTCCAAAGTGTCAAGCTTGATCACTCTTGTCAATCTTTAAAATTATATGACTATTATAGAGCCGTACCAATTACTGGACATTGGCGCGACGGTTAAATTATTTTTACAATACCTACCTATTTATAATTATTGCCAATGGTCAGAAAAAGGTGTTCCAAATCTATAGATACTTGGACAGATACAGCTACAAGGAGTGACATAGAGTTGTTAAAACCACCAGTAACGTACGTACCTAATAAATAAATTAAAACAGTTTAAACATCAACGTGTTGTCTTTAGAGCATGTTTCGCTGACAGCCTTGTTGCCGTTCCGTCAATGTGACCGTCAATATGCGGGGTGCGGTGCGATAATTAAAGCTAGTTAGGGGCGGAGAGTGACCATTCTCGTTTTTATTTTCTGCTTTGGTAAAAGGCCAGTTATCTACTGCATTTTTTTACTTGGAACCATTAGAATTATACTTTAAAATCCAACTTCGACTTCCTAGGTCAGTAGTTTTGTCCTACAACGCAGTAAAACCAGTTCCGGAAATCGGAAAAAGGAAATTTTAATTAATTGGTGGTTTTAACAACTCTATGTCACTCTTTGTAGCTGTTTCTGTACATGTGTAGATAGATTTGGAACACCTTTTCCCGACCATTGAATTAATTTTACTAAGCGGAACACACATTACTGGCGAAATCCTAAAAGGGCGTCGTCAATAAGCAAAAAGAAAACGATATAGAATAGGTACTAGGTCTTATTTGAAGTAATTTTAGAATTTTTGTGTAATATTTTCTTTTAAGATTGATAACTTACCTAGTCATTATATGCAGCTAATCTTAATCAAGCTGCGTCACTTTATGACTAGATAAGTTTATTTATAGCAATGAAATAAAAATGTGTCAGCACTTGTGTGGCTTTACCTACAGTGAATATGTTAGAACTTACGCGTTATTTCATAACGATACGGTCTACACTTTGAAACGTCATGTATGACAATGCCATTTTTATCTGTAACCAAGGTCAACACGTAGTGATGTAGCGAGTGAGACGATGGTTTAGTCGTCGGATACTTTGCTTCGGATACGATAACTCATTATTGCGCTGTCAATGATCTTTATGATATTATGTACTTTATATACATATGACAAATCTGAATAAGTAGGTATTTGCACGTATGTAAAAGACAGTAATTCAGAATACTTTGCCGTATATTTTGGTAAGTATAATAACTAGTGCGATGAGATGTGTATACACACGTTCTCTTCACGCCTTTTTTCCAGAGCGATAGGCAGAGACTACTACAGCCTTCCACTTGCTACGATCCTGCGTAAGTTCGGTTGATTATTTAACCGGGTTAAGCTTAAATTTTTTGAACATAATATTGTAACGATAGGAATATGAATAATTGTTACGTAACCACACGGAGAGGTACGGTATGCAGACCGACACACGCGCTAGTTTAAAACGTTTATTCCCACTAGTTCTGTTGTACAGTTCTGTTAACAGAGCAGTAGTCACTGCTACTTTTCTTCCCGGGATTTACGATTCCCAGTAGTTCTGTCGGGTCTGCCCGATTATTCTCACTAGTTCTGTTATACCGTTCTGTTGATAGAAGTACTGGTGTTTTTTCCTGTTTGTTCTGTGGTACAACTCTAGACTGAAAACTCGTACACAAAACAAGTGGGAGAGAAAATTCTCAGTAGTTCTGTGAAGAAAACTGTCTATTTGTCAACAGAACAATTGGGAAGAAAAGTAGGTACCAGTAGTTCTGTCAACAGAACTAGTGGGAATGAACGGTTTATAGGACTATAATATAAAATTGTTTCTTGTTATCTTCTATGCTTGATAGTTTACCAGTTCTTGTTGCATTGTTTAATTATTTCCGCTAAAGACAAGGTTGGTACGAAAATGTGATCTATCGGATATATTACGGATATTGTTTATACACGTCTCCACGTAACAAGAAACTTTGTTGACCTGTAGACTAAACTGATAAAAAATACATAACCAATCGTCTGCCGTTATGTGGTTTGCTCGTTTAGAAGGTCTAATTATTGATTCCAGCGCTACTAAAGGCGCACCTTGTTAAATTCCTTCCTGCAAATAAATTTACGTATTTCCAATTTACTTAGTGCAACTTCTTTTGTAGTAACTATATGGAAAATATAGGTTAGTTATATTTAATATTACTTGCTGTTAATAGTGCAGCGCTGCCTAGTGTTCCAAGATGCCCGAGTTACGCCAAAGAAAGGTAAATGTTTGTACTTAATTTTTAAAGTAATCATAGCTATTTGAAGTCCCCAATATAAAGCTATATTATATAAAATTACAACCTAAAATATTACTACCTAACACTTATTACACTTATCTACTAGAAAAAATGTATTCGAATACTTTTAAACATTTCCATTAAAGTAAATTAACTATTGCGTCACAATTTCTGGCATAATTACCTTAGTGATGAGTGTTGTAATTTTTGTTTACATCAGGCTGACTGATTTGTCTTCGCTTAACGATGTCAAGGTTACCAAGTCACAAAACAACCCCTTAGAGGATGGAAAAAAATGTTTGCCCTTATCTCTATGATTTATCTTTCATCTGACAGATTCATCCTTGTATTACCTACCGTACAACACGAATGACGTGAGTGGAAGGTTTGTGAAAGAGCGCTGAACTTGACTTACTTTTTTTCGCATCAAAACATTCAGTAAAAATTGCTGGTTTTTGTGGCCACACTTTTTCTTAGAGGATGGAAAGCACGTTTTACACGATTTATTGTTCTAATTTTTTCATTACACTACAATTTTTTTAAGAAGTTCTGTGCTTTAGTTGATAGCTATTAAGTATTTTACCCATATATAAAAAAATGTCATTTGACTCTGGAATGTGACATTGACAGTTCAATTTTCATATTTGTGCCGTGTGTATGTACGGATTATTGCATATTTTTTGCAAAAATTTGTGTTTAAAATGTGTATTACTATTAAAAGTTACATTAATGTGAATTAGAGTATAAGACGGTTGTGAATATTATCTTGTAATACAGCGAGCTATGGGAAAATTTGGCACTTACAGGTATTTAGAGGTAAGTTCGTAAAAATGTGAGTAATTTTAGTATTTTCTCGGTTCTTTACTTGTTATATGGCATTTCTACTATTAACGACTGAAATTTACGAGCTGACATTCAGTTTCGTAAACCTTTTATAGTTATTGTGGCAACCATTCCTTAGTTACACTTGTGTTTATTTTTTGAATTATTTTGATAAGTAAAATTTTGTAAAGGATTATCTCAGCCTTTTTGAGTTGTCTGTTAATTCAGAAATATGACTCAATGACTTAATTTCATTTACTTAATTCGATTTCATAGAAGTGACATGTTTAATCACAAAAATCTTTAATAATAGTGTGAAAGTAATATCGAGTAATATTTTGTTCAAATAGCAAACACTTAAATACCCAAAACACCTAAATTGAAACCACTTAAAAAAAAAAAAATGTTTCCTTACATTGGTGGTTTCAACCTGGAACCCCTTAATGAAATCACGATAGTGCCAAACTCTGGGCCACCAAGTTTGTCACGGTGAAATGTTTTTGTTTTAAATTTTTTTATAGGACCAACCAATGGGACGAACAAGTTGTGCACCTGGTGGTATGTGACTTGCCCATCCATAACAGTTGCAGCGCCATGTCGTGCTTTTAATCTCAAGGATGTTAAGGACACTGCCACTGTGCCCGTCTCCCTGAAACTAAGTTGACAAGTATTATGTGCCTGTAATTTCACCAGCAACTTTACCATTCGAAACCTCAATGCTGTAATGTTCATATTACTGCTTGGCAGTAGAAAGGTCAGGTGGCAGTACTTTCTTGGACGAACTCGTATCACAAGGAACTCTACTGCTCCTAATTAAATCCTACTGTATATAGTTGGTTTAAAATGGGTTTCTATTGTGGAATAGAAAATTAAAATGTCTATTCCATTATACAAAGCAACGGTAGTTCAAAAACACCTAATTTTTATCATGTCTTTTTATCTAAATATCCTGCCTCGCAAGAAGCTGCGTTGACGGCCTATCACGGCTACATTTTGTCCCTGCTCAGCTACGGTCTTGTACTATGGGGTAACTCAGTAATCTTAGAAAGAGCGTTTAAAGTCCAGAAGAAGTGTATTCGAGCAATTTGCGGTGCGTGGTTCGATGACAGTCGCAAACCAAATGTTTAAAAAGCTGAACATATTACCTTTACCATCCATGTACATTAGGGATATCTGCGTATTTGTCAAGTCTCATCCTCAATATTTAAAAACATGCGGTGAAGTCATTCAAAGGCAAACTAGAGCAAAAATTATGAATCTCTGATACCAACCTCGTAGCCATAAAGTAATTTATAAGAATAACTGCTTCAACATGTGTATAATTATTTACAATAAATTACCAAACGAAATTAAATTGTTACAAGGACATACTTTTAAATTAAAATTGACAAAATGGCTTTTGACACATTGCTTCTCTAGTAATAAAGAATACTTAGAATTTACAAATTCATTACATTAATTAGAAACTATAGAGACTAAAGAAACATTGAATTTATATTTGCACATCTGCTTGCAGGTTGAATACAATGTACCTAAGTTTACTTAAGACCTTTGTAATTACTGTATTCTGGCAAATAAACGTATTCTATTCTATATGTTTAATGTAATCGAGTATTACTCAACCTCCGAAAAATGTACATAAACTTTCTGAATTATATTTACATTAAAATTTTTGTTTACCGGAGTTGAAGTGACAGTAAAGTTTACTATATTTTTGTTAAATTATTGTAATTGACAAAGGGTCTTTTTTAACTTTTAAAATGAAGGAAATGACAATTTAGTTGCTATTTAACAACTTCAGTGGTACAGCAGTTGTTAATGTGGGTGTTCGATGACAAGGAGCCTTGTTCGATACCAATTTATTGTATTAATCCCATTCTTGGTGTTCTGAATAGCACCCCCAAGTGAAATTATATTGTGTTATATATTTCATTGTGAAAATTACAATTATCTCAATGTAACATGAAATGAGTGAATGTTGCGCTGGCACTTATAAGTACAGGGAATTCTGATAGTTTGAGACCTATTAGGTAATTGGTGTGGTTGTCTGGCAATTATTATGGTTAATTTATGCTGTTAGCTGGTTGGTTAATTATTAATCATAAAAATAGATTAATGCTTCCTATATCCAGATTAACCCTACATTCCTCTAGCCCATATGTCACATCCATAAAAATTTATAATAAACTACCTGAAGCAATGAAAAATGAAACCAATGGTAGAATATTTTGTAAAAAACTAAAAGACTTGCTAATAAATAAATGTTATTATGATATTAATGAAATCCTGAACGGAACCTTTTAGCAAAAAGGTAAATTCAAAATAATCCTTTAATATAAGTATACATAATATAAACGTATTGAATATTAAAAAAAAAAATAGAACTGCCTCCGTGGCCGAACGGTTACCATGCTGGAGTGCCACGCAGAGGTCCCAGGTTCGATTCCCGGGCCGGGAGAAATAGTTGTATGGCCTACAATTATTTATCTCGTGAGTTTGAGTGTAATTTGTGGTTGTCTATGTGTGTGTCCATGGCACCCGCGACTCAGGGTTTCCCTAGTGCGTGGCTATGTTGAGTGAGTGCGTTTATTTATTTATTGAATTACTTGAAGTCCCATTTTATTTTAAAACTGAAAAGTTAATGATTATTCACCCTCATTCTCGTGTGTCATATTGACAAAATTATGCACATTCACAAAAATTTTATAAGAATACTTTTTAACTACATTAT